CAGGGGCTGCTTCCTCATCGTGGGCACGAGAAAGCGGCCCCGTCACGAGGCCGCAGGGCGCGGTGTCCAGTTCAGGCCACAGAGGGAGGGAGGGCACGGTCGCCGTGGGTTACAGTGGTTTGAGCTTTGCTTCAGGATAAATGGGCTCTGACAGAAGAAATCACGACAGCCAAGACGTAAAGCATTCGGAAAAGGTAGACATGTTGGGAAAAGGCAATTCTGGCCGATTTTAAGAGGAATGGCTAGAGTCATCTGGGAAAAAGCAAGAAATGCAAACGGGGCCTACGCTGCCCGCGGCGTGCCGGCGGAGGGTGGCCTGCGCTCAGAGCCTCGGACGGCAGTCTCGCGGGAGGCCCTGCCCGACTACAGGCGGAACCAGGCCCCGGGCAGGCAGCTCCTGACAGAACCGAGGCGGCTGGAGCACGTGGGACCGTGCGCCCAGGGCAGGGAGGGGGAGACAGGTGACACACAACAGGGCGGGCAGGGCCCATCCAGGGGGAACCCAGATCTGAGCGAGGCACAGTCTGCTGAGCGAGGAAAACCCATGGCGGCCGGAAGGTGTTCACCCTGGACCCTCATCGCCATGACAACCACCCACAGAAGGAGCGGAGTGTTCACTAGACCCTCCCCCTTACCTCCCCCCAAGATCTGTGGTTCCTGCAGAGGTCTGAGGTCAGACCTGACCCTGCTGCAGCCCCTCCTGCCTCACATCAGGGGTCAGAGGTGAGAGGTCAGGGGCACCACCTGGCCGCCTGGCGTAGAAACTCTCCGTCTCTTTCCTCAGGTCCAGACGCGTCACATGACGATAATGATGACCTTCCACCAAACTGAAGATGCACAGCTGGCAAACGAGACGGGGGCCCCACCCTCGTCAGCGGGAGGAAAGGCAGGGAGAACCAGACGAGGGACGAGGGTGGGAGCAGATGAGAGACAAGGTGCGTGGCCCTGGGGTCCCCGAGCCTTAGCCTGGTCTGAGCCCCACCCCGCGGCCCCTGCTGACCGGGGCTGAGGGCACTGTCTCGGTGTGAGCACTACACAGGCCTCTGCAGACCCCGCGGGCTCCCCCAGGGGCACGCCACCAGGGCCCGGGACAGCCCGGGGTTCCAGGGTGTCAGCAGTCACTCGGTGAGCCAGGGGTGCGGCTCCAGGAGGCCCCGACCCTGCCCTCACCTGGCCCTCGACGCCCCCGGCCACCAGCTGCTGGCTCTCCCCATCGATGAAGAGGCTCAGGAGGGGGGAGGCTGGTGAGAGGGAAAGATGAGCCGTTACCCTCAAAGGCACCGGCACAGTTTAAAGGGAACTCTCAGCTTCACTTACTCCTGTAGTCAGTTCCAACTGCTCTGAAATCACTTCTGCACAGAAAGTAGAAACCGCGAGGACAGCGCCAGCCGGCAGGTGACTGCGTCTCTGCCCGCGTCACCTGAGCCCCCGCTGAGTCGCTGGGGGGGGCTGGGGGCGGGGACTGCACAGCAAGTGCCCAGAGCACAGACGCCCCAGGATGGGCCTCGGGTGGCCAGGCTCCGTGAAGCGAAGGATTCATGATGAACAGCAATTAAATGGCATATTTTTAAATTGCTGCCTAGGATGTCATTTCCCTTAAGACATTTGTGCATCTAAACTGCCAAGAATTTGGAAGGAGAGTTAAGATAAATGGATATTTAAAAACACCCCATGGCCTAAAAACTATAAGTGATGTCAAAACCAAGTTTGTAATTGTTTTCTGGACAGTCCGGTCGTTCACCTAATTTCAGGAAAGTCATTCCAGCGCGATCCCCAGGCCCGGGCTCTGGCCCTACCTGTGTTGCTGCCGAGTGTGACAACAGCCCGTCCCGCAGACCGCGGCCCTCGGGGGACGCCGAGTCAGGGCCACACCTGCTGCCCTCTCACGGCTTCCCTGCTCCCTTCCCAGGAGAGGAGTGCTGGGCCTAGCAGGACCAGGAAACCACTCCCAGGAGGCGCTGGGGCCCTGCACGGAGGACACCGGCCCCGCGTCTCACAGGTTCCACAGTGACCCACGCCGGCACCCTGCTCCACCGCCGGTGCCATGTGCGACCGTGGACGGTGTCAGCCATGACCAAGGGACGGACTGAGGAGAGTGTGTGGCGACCCAGCCGCATGCCTGGGCCCACCGGGCACGCGTCCCGCGAACACGCAGCTCCGGGCCCTGCTCTGTGGGACAGCGCCACGGCCACGCCTCCCCACACTCCCACCTTCCACAGCTCCCAGCCATGCTCAGACTTTAAAGCTAAAACGAAGACAGTCGGTGGGAGTGAGGCAGCTAGAGGGGTGATACTGACCCCCGACTGGCGCTCCGTGTGGTGACCACACCTGCCCCAGGAGAGCGCAGACGCGTGGCTCGGGCAGAACGAACGAACAGGAGGGCCAGTTACCTGTCAGCACCGCCGAGCTGTGCATCATGGCCCCCGTGCGACAGTCCCACACCTGAGGGCAGACACAGCTCGTCAGGAGGTGGCTCTGCCGCTGCTGCCAGCCCTTCAGGTAACACCCTAGGCCCGTGGTCGGCAAACTGCGGCTCACGAGCCACATGCGGCTCTTTGGCCCCTTGGGTGTGGCCACAAAGTTTCAATCACACTGTACGTGCGCGGCCGCACGTGGTGTTTTGTGGAAGAGCCACACTCCAGGGGATGCAGTTTGCCGACCACTGCGCTAGGCAGCCACAAGCTACCCTGCAAATGCTTTCCTGGGAGAGCAGACAGCGACAGGAGGACAAACAAGGGAACTGCACAGTGAGACGTGGACTCCTAGGAAACACCGCGTTTCCAGGCCGGCCCGGGCGCGAGGCAGACACCCAGCTCCAGCCCACCCGCGAGGCGGGGCGGGTGTCCACCTGCTCTGCACGCTCGCGGGGAGAGTGGCGCGTGCTCACCAACACCCAGCTCCTTTCATTCCCACGAGGGCCGCGAGGCTATGGCACCGCAGGTCCAGTCTCCATTATTCCAGAGGAGCGGGGGCACAGCACGGGCGGCACCGCTGTGGGCAGCAGAGGGCGCCAGGAGCTGGGGGATACCCTCCCACGGCTGCACCTGGCACCGTCTCGGGGCCTGGAAGGTGAGGCCGTTCCTCTGTCCCTCCCGTGCAGGTGGGGTCAGCGCTCTCCTTTCTCTGTCCCTCACGGAGACTGTCCTCACTCGGTTACCGGCCATCATGACACGGGCTGACGTGGTCTGTGATGGGGACTGAGCTTGCATTTTAATGTACTTTCTTCTTGAGCCAGTTTTGTTCTGATTGAGTCCTGATACCGGACGACGGTTCTACTGCTCCAGGGTCGTCCTTGACACCGCGGAGAGAAATCAGTTTTCTCCCCGGGGCCTGGATCCGAGGAGGCACCCAGCTGACTCGATGCCTCGAGCCCACGTGGGAATACGGGACAGAGGGGCACTGTGAGCGCATCGGCTCCCACACCAGCCGTGGCCTGGCTGAAACGGTGGGGAAGGTCAGGAGGGCAACTATCGCGCAGGCGCCACAGCCCTGACTCTGCTCCGTCTGGCTGCGGGCGGGGCCGTCCCTACCTTGAAGCTTCTGTCCTCAGACCCCGAGACGACCACATGCGCTTTCCATGCACAGAACTCGGCTGCGGTCACGGGGCCCTGGTGCCCGTCTAGCTCTGCGCACACGGTCCAGCTCTGCGGGTTGCACAGTGAGACCAGTCACTGGACGTCCCAGCAATGACTGCTAAGAAGGCGCCTGTGTCTCACAGAAAAGTTTCCGTTAAAATACACCCTGCAGAGCTCCCTCTTCCCGTGCACGGAGCTGACACCCGGACACTGAGCACAGCGTCCGGTGCCACAGGAGCCGGTGGCCACAAACACCACCGAGGCCGACCCCCTGCAGGCCCTTCCCACAAGGATGTGTTCACAGCCCCAGCCCCGTCCCAGGACACTTCCCGCCGACACTGCCCTTCCCCAGGGCGAGCCGTCAGTGTAGAACCAGTGAGCAGAGACGTGCTCAAGGGCAGGCGTGCCCCCACAGCCCGCTCACAGCAGGTCCCGCCACAATCACCAACACGACGTCCCGCCTCTGTCCTGCCTCCCTACGGTTTTAACACAGACATGGCAAGGGACTCTCGGGGGGCCAACAGCGTGCTCAATCACTGTGCCCGTGACACCACAGCGCGCCCCCACAGCGCGTCCCATGCGACCACGGGTCCGAGGGAACAGGGCGCCGCCCACTGTGTGACACGGGCCCAAAAGCCATTCCTGGTCCAACACAAGACTCAATGGTCACAGAACCTGCAGGTGGCAGCACATCCACGTCAGCCAATCTCGATGAAGACTCAACGAGCAAGTCCACTTCTCAAGGGGAAGCAAGTGTTGGTAAGTGAGAGGCAGGCAAGGCCCACACTGTGAGGCTCTCTGACAGAGAAGACCGGGAAGTGCACGTGTTCCGTGTTCCGGAGCATGCCTGTGCCCTGGTCCCCAGGCGTCATGGCGAGGCCTCCATCCACATGAGTCAGCAGCATCGTCTCCAGGGGCCTCCATTGCAAGATACAGTTGAGTGCTCATTTACTCCCCTCACGTGTTTACAGAAACTCGCCCAATTAGGGCCGCTGACAAGAGGCAGGCGGACCTTGCCTGCGAGGCCCCCGCACTGTGCCCCGCCACCCACTGCCGCCTCTCACCTGCACGTCCAGCACGAGGACCCTGTTGCCAGCGCACACCGCAGCCATCTGGTCGTCCGGGCTGAACTTCACGCACCGCACCTCTCCCAGGTGGGTGCCCAGGACAAGTCCGCGCGGGTCCGTCCCTGGAGCGGGTGGGGGGGAGACAGCCGCTAGTTGGTCATCAGAGGCAGGACTGAGTGTCCCCAGGAGTCAGCTCCCGGGCAGGGACACGCTCGCGGGGTGACTGAGCTGTCAGACGACTGGCTCTTTGAGAGAACTAGACACGCTGAATATAAAAATTCCCCTGGAAATAGGTGGGATTGCCTAGAACTGTCAATAGCATGAGAACCCGCCCGTGTAGCCCCATGAAGGGGAGAATTAGCTTGATCTGACCCACTGCGGGGTGGGACACGGGACGCCCCTGAGCCCAGTGCCTGCATCCTGGGAGCAGATCTCCACATTCCAGATCCATGTGGGGCTCCGCTTACAGACAAACTTGGGGAGTCCGGCCCCTCCAACGAGACTGTCTGTTTACCAAGACACCAGGAGGGAGCAGATTCCTAACAGGTGGCTCACTATATGCAGCACATGTGCATACCATACACACATGTGCATGTAGGTGTGCACTACATGTATGTATACCCTGTGCGTAGTATGCATGTGTGCCTGTATATACATATATACTGTGCATGTGTGTATAAGGTGTGCTTATATATGTGTGTGCTATAACTATATGCATGCACATACCATATGTATGTGTGTATGAATGTACTAAACATGTGTACTGTGCACACGTCTGTGTGCATGCATGCTGTGCATGTGCATACTAGATGCATTTGTGTATCTGTGTGCTATAAATGCATGCACATGTATCATATGTGTATGCATGTGAATGTGCATTATGCATGTGTTGCAATGTACACATGTACATGCTTGTGTAGTATGTATTAGATGTGTGCTGTGTACATAGTGAATACCTGTACTGTATAATGTGTGTACATAATGAATGTGTGCATGTATGTATGGTGTGTGTAGGTATGAACGTAGTATGTTTGCAGATGTGCCGACACTGTGTGTGCATGTATGTTTGGATTTATATGTGTGCACATAATTACATGTGTGAGTGTGTATGTGTGTAGTGTGCATGTGTATACATAATGTATACATGCGTGCATGTACTGTGAGTGGGTGGGTGCTATGTGTGTGTGCGTGCTTATGTTTGCATGCATGTGTATAGTTACACGTGTGAATGTGTACTATATCGTGTAGTGTGTACACATTTACATATTGTACATGTGTGTGTGTTGTGTGCATGTGTTCATATGTGTGAGTATGTGTGTGCTATATTGTGTAATGCACACGTGTATGTTTGTGTACTGTTGGGTGCTGTGTGTGCAGGCATGTTTGTTTTGCATGCATGTGTGTGTTTACATGAGTATGTGTGCGCTATATTGTGTGATGCATACATGTATGTTTGTGTACTGTTGGGTGCTGTGTGCAGGCATGTTTGTTTGGCATGCATGTGTGTTTACATGAGTGTGCGTGTGCTGCCACGCATGTGCACGTGTGTAGATGTCTGTGGTGGCACAGTGATATTGCAATGACCACACTGTAAAGAAGGTGGAGTATAAACGATTATAGAGGCTGCTAACTAAAATCAGTTGGTTTTAGGAGTAATTCTGTAACTTCCGAATGTAGCTCCATACTGTGGTCATCACCAACGTTTCAGGCGCATCTGATAAAACTCGGACACACAGCCCTCAGCACGCAGGCTCGGTCTCGGCTCCTCAAAGAGGCCAAGCTCGTACGCCCAGGCCAGGCCCCCAGCTCCCTCTGCCTCACAGGCGCTGCCAGCACTGCCCACCCTCCCACCTGCACCGCCGGGATGGCTCCCCGTGAGCATGTTGCCATGATCTGTCTACGCCTCGCTCTCCACTGCCCGCATGTGTGTTTCCCACTCCAAGCTGTGAACTTGCCCCAACTCCATCGGGAAAAAATAATTCAACTCCCTCCAAGTTTCAGAGTGCCACTAAAGTCACAGATTCCAACGCAAGAAAATGTGAAGGTTAAACGCACTGAGTTCAGGAAGCGGCTTCCCGCTTGGCCGTGTTCCCCCAGCTCCGCACCTGCCTTCAAGGTCCCAGGGTCACCCAGGACCAGCCCCGGAGGCACCGGCTATTTAAGGGGAAGTTGCTCCGCGACATTGTTAAGGGGTTTTAGGGCTGCACCCACCGTGAAGCGCCTTCTCTCGGCACTCGCCCAGCCTCCACATGAGCACGCGGTCTTGTGAGGCAGAGCAGACCACAAGCGGGGGCTCCGTGTTGCCGAACGCCACAGCAGTAATTGGCTGATGGTGTCCTCTTAAGATCAGAAGCTTAAAAATTCACAAAAACGTCATGGATTAGAGGTATAACATACCCATGTAACCTCAAACCTAAGAAAATAAATGGATTGAATTTTTCAAATATATTGACTTTGCGTATTCATTTATTAAAACCCCATGTACTATTAAACCAATCCCGTGAGCTCAGCATGGCATGTAGCTCAGTATCACAAATAACAAGCAGCAGGAAAGGGCAGCGCCCTCACCCCCACTACCCACTGGTGTGACTGAACAGTGCATGCTGCACCCACCGCAGGCCAGGGAGGGGACAGCTGGGTGACCAGGGAGGGGACAGCTAGGTGATCAGGGAGGGGACAGTGGTGTGATCAGGGAGGGGACAGCTGTGTGATCAGAGAGGGGACAGCTGGGTGATCAGGGAGGGGGCAGCTGGGTGATCAGGGAGGGGACAGTGGTGTGACCAGGGAGGGGACAGCTGGGTGACCAGGGAGGGGACAG